CATACAAGATTTGATGTCTCAAGAGTTGATTAGCGTAATCAGCATTTGAGATCTTCATATCCCCACCAATAGAGAGAATGATACTGGAAATGACCAACTTAGAGGGGAAACGTGTGTTTCAAGAAAAAGGGAAGCCACTGGATCAGACTGACTTGCATGCTTACATTAGAGTTCTGTTATTAGCTGGAGTGTACAGGTCAAAGGGGAGTAGCAACTGCAAGTTTATGGATTGAAGACAATCCTGGTCCCCATGTTACTGTAGATGAGAGTCTTGTTCCATTCAGGGGGCGCTCTCCTTTCTGACCGTACACGCCCAACAAGCCTGCCAAGAATGGCACCAAAATATGGGCAGCCTGTGATGCAAAATGTAGCCATGCATGGAATCTGCAAGTATACACTGGAAAGCTACCTGGAGGAAAATCTGATAAGAATCAGGGGATGCATGTGGTGCTGGAGATCAGTGAAGGGTTGCAAGGTCATATCATCACCTGTGACAACCTTTTTACTTCCTACCGCCTTGGAGAAGAACTTCAGAAGAGAAAGCTGACCATGTTGGGATAGTCAGAAGAAATAAGCCAGAACTTCTCAGTGGAATTCAGAAAATGCAGGGCAGACCTCAGTATTTGCTTTCATTAAGAGAGTGACAGTTGTCTCATACCGCCCAAAGATAAACAAGAATGTTCTTGTATTGAGTACAATGGAAGCTGACGCAACTCTGGGCACAAGAGAGGACATGAAGCCACAAATTATCCTGGGTTATAAATCCATCAAAGGAGGAAATGGCAATTGTGACAAAGTCACAGCAACATACAGCTGTCAGAGCCAGTTTGATCCAGACTCCAGCCAGGCTAGCAGTCGCAGCAGCTATCATTAAAAAGGTAAAGCTCAGGTCCCCCAACCAACACCCAGTGGACAGGTGTAAAACAAAAAGGGAAAACCAGGATGCCAGGTCTGTCCATCCCAAGAAGTAAAATAAGTACCTCGAGTGAAATGTAAGAATTACACCCGCAGAAAGTGCTTGGTAAAATTCCGAAATGTGATTGTGAAGAGGGAAAAACGCAAACAAAATAGTTCTTAAAGAAAGTGTTGGAATTAAAAATGTATTGTTTGTCACTTTTCTAAAGGTTAATTCAATATTACATTATTTTGTATTGGTTTAACCCGTTTTTGTGACTGTCTTGCGGTCATTTACATGGTGCGGTTCAAAATGACCCGCAACATAATCAATGTAATTTTTTTCCAAAAATCAAGACATTTCAGTCATGACCTCTGACGTAGATCTGCATATCTGTCATTCAGTTGTGAGTTTGTCTTGAGTTTAAGAGGGTCAAATGCATTTTTCAGCAAAAATAGTTCAACTCTGAGGCCATTAAGATAGTTCACCTGCTTTTGACTCAATAGAATAAACCACTGTATTAATGATGTGATGTGATTAATGGCTGCTGTTTGTTTTTTTTCAGAGTCTTTTCTCTTATTTCAGAAGACATGTCCTCTCAGGTGAGACTGAGTTTGCTGCCACGGGCCCGATGTTTGTTTGACGAGCCCGTAAAGGTGAAGGTGGCCGGATTGAGGCCGAGACAGGTGGTCACCCTGAGAGCCAGATCCACGGATGAGAGAGGAGTGGTGTTCAGCTCCTCCGCCTCCTACCAGGCAGATGGCGGAGGAGAGATCCACCTGGACAGGGACCCCTCCATCGGGGGGAGCTACGTGGGAGTGGAACCAATGGGTCTCCTGACGTCCCTGCGGGCAGAAGCCTTGCACAAAGACTTTCATAAGAACACGGCATTACACCCTCACATCGTGAACTTCTCCGTGCACGAGGTCAAGGAGGAGGGCGGGATTCTGGCGGAGGCAACCAATGAGAGGCTTC